GGGTCCAAGCGCACTATTCAACTGAATGGGGAGACTCATGAAATGCTAATAATAAACGTTTACAAATCGATTTAATGCTTTCGAAAATCCAGATTGCAGTATATATGTCCATGCCTAATATCCGATGGCCAGAAAGTGATAAATTTTTTTATAAATTAATAAATTTTTGGTATTTGTTATGCAGCAAGCCCAGAGATTGTTGTGTACATTACGATTTTATATAAAATTAACTTTAATGTGTGATAGGAATAAAACGTGATCATAAACAAATGATTTCTCCACTCAAATGAATGGCGGCTTGGACCCGGAAACAGTATACATACGTCACAAACACGTCACCATTTAACAAGCGGATTGGTTAAATATTGTAATTGATGCCTACAACTTTCATTTTTAAGTGTCGTTAAATGCATATGATGTTGATTTTAATCTTTCCCATTAACCCAGTTATCCCAGTACTTCTGTTATTTGATTCTTTGTAACTTCATATCTAACTCAAAAGACTAAAGGCTAAATTGCTTTCTTGATTTTTGTGTTTTTCAAACACAGATTTGAATGCAGCGATTCGATGGATTAATAAACATATGCAAATCACCATCATTTTATAATTTTTGTTGCGTGGGTGTTGAGATCCCAATCTTAATGATAAATCGTGCAGCTTTAACGGAACACATTAATGCAGGCTAAACAAGTAGTGACAGAAAACCCCTCAAATAACCTAAGAAACCCACCTCACCCTGAATAACCATCCACAACTTTTTCCATCTTCATTATATTTTGCAGGAAAGCCTAAATGCTGTCATACATGTGATTTGAATGACGTTAGAGGTGTTCTCTCTGCAATCGTTGCAAATTTAGGATTAATCTACAAGTAAAAAAAATGTAATAGCCTAATCCCTGGGTCACATGTGTTCTGAACCATGGGTTTTGATCTGTATGAATCACGGATCAACCGTGGTCCGTTACACCCCTATTCAAAGTGCTTGACATTCTGGGTATCACATAAAATAATCATTAAAAAACTATGATTGATAAATAAGTTATGCCATCAAAGTCATTCCATCATTTGTTTAAAGTATCCCAAAATTATGTCCGATTAAAATGAATTTAGACTGCATTAGCAATGGATCACTTAATTAGATTTATTAAATGTTTTACACTGCAAAAAATGCTTTTCTTACTTATTTGTCTTGTTTCTAGTCCAAATATCTAAAAATACTGTCTTGTTTTAGGAAATATTATGGCAAAATTTGTGAGTCTTTCTTTTAACGCAAGCAAAATAAAGTGAGTTTTTCTTTAAAAAAACAATAAATAAATAATAATAATTCTGCCAATGGGGTAAGTAAAATACTCTTGTTTTCCCTTTTGACATAAGATTATTTAGCTTACACCCTGTTGGCAGATTATTTTACTTGTTTAAAGGGAAAAACTATAAATTAATTAAAGAGATTATTTCTTAAAACAAGGCTATATGTTTTGTTTGTCTAGATGCTTCTTGATTTTAAATGTGAGAAAGCATTTTTGCAGTGTTAGACATTTTTTTCATGGACAAACATTCCTGAATTGAATGTTTAAATTCTTTATATACTTGGAGACCTCTGAAATAGGGGTTAAGCTAAAGGAAAATAAATAAATGAATGAATGTACATGGAACAACCTTCAAAACTGAAAAAGACGACTGCATTTGTAAAAGGTAGTTTTAAGGTCTGTGACTGTGTGACAGAGAGCTGAAGTGCGAGTGCATTTGTGTGTAATTAAAAGAAGTGATTATTTTCCGCTGGGATAATCCTGGAGGTCCAGCTGGTCAGCGGAGGATTTGAACACCCTCACCCTGGGCTGGAGAAAGGGCAAACGCTCAGGGGATGAGGCCAAATTGGCTCCACAACCAAAAGCAGAGAGCAAAAATTATGTACACTTATAAAATCGACAAAACTTCCCCGTTGTTCCTATTACAGTTTTTCTCAGTCGCTTTGGTGCGTTTCTCACAACACTAGTGCATTTTTGCACAACATTTAATGATTTTCTCAAAACAAATAGTACAAACAATAGCAAAACCTAGCTGATAACCTGCAAAAGCGTGTCACATGCTCAAAATAGATAGTTCATTCCTCAAAAGCAAGTATTCATGTCAATCAATGTGTCAGTGCCATCAAAATGAAAAGTCCTGACACCATTGTTTATAAACAATATAGTCAAATGGCTTAGTCATGTTTTCATCATGACAGTTTACTCTCTACATTTTTTCAATGCAAAAAAAGTCTGATTTTGGTGACACTGCCTGAAAATGCTCAAGACAGCACTGTATACTATTTGCACAGCCATTTGAAAACTACAGTAAAGTTAGACATCAATGCATTTAGTGAGGTATTTGAGTACAAGACACTGAATATGTATGTTTCACATTTTTTACTGCATTTGCTCTTTGCAATCCCAATTTATTCCCAGCATTGTGCAAAAGAATAAATACGCCCTTATTCACAACAAACATAAACTCCCTTTAGGTAGAGCTGTGCACAACTCTACACAATATTGCAGTACATATTGGAACTGAGCCTACATCATACACAGGTCTGTAAATCATTCATCAAATTGTTCAATTTTAAAGACATTTTCAGGAAAATAAAGATTTAAGTTTGTTAAAAAAAATTAGCTTGACAGATTTTGACAACTAGTTGAACATATTTGTATGTAATGACTCAAGTAATAAAATGAAGATTATTCGTTTTATATAGAATGACTATTCAGCATTTACAAGTTTAGTTCATTTTGACTGACATGACATGAGCAGATGATAATGTTTTAAACAGCAGAGAGTTGTTTGAAAGCAATTGATTCATGTCCAAAAGCATTCGCAATTTGTTGAAAAAAATGAGAAACTGCTACTAGGATGTGCACAAATGACTAATTGTTTTGAGAAATGCATTACCTGTTGTGCAAATGTAAATAGTGTAGTGAGAAATGCACCAAAGCGACTGAGAAAAACTGTAAGGAAAGACTTGTCAAACTGTTGTTTTGCATAACTCAAAGTCAGTAAATAAAAGTTGATAAAAATTGTTGTTGAGGAAATATTGATTAAAGTATCTAATAGAGTTTGATTGCATAAACATTATAGGTCAAATACCTTTATGTGCGTCATTTTTTTTCCCACTGGGATTTTGAGAAACTGTTATTGAGCATTAGGGTTGTCACGATTCTTGAATTTGATACCAATCGCTACTGGAATTTTAAAAACGCCCAACATTTGAGCACGTTCTTAAATGCCGCTGATTTCCCATTGTGTTCACATGCTCAACAGAAAAGACTGTGATTGGCCGTGAAGGTCATCAGTTCATCAAACTCACTGCTGTTTACTGTGAACACAGATACAGGGACATTAGAGCGTTTCAAAGTCACGTCGATCAGCTGATTTGTCTATAAGCTGACATACGAGCGATTTGCTGATGAATCGCGGCTTTAAAGTGATTTAGTGTTCTTGGATCTGTGGTTACACTCGGTAATCATGGGTGAGTTTGGTGAACGGATTACCTTCTAGGCCAGGGATGTCCACACTCGGTCCTGCGGGCCGGTGTCCTGGAGAGTGTAGCTCCAACCCTAATCAAACACACCTGAACCAGCTAATCAAGCTTAAACTATGTATGCTAGAAAATCTCCATGTTGAAGCAAGTTGGAGCTAAAGTCAGTAGGACACGGGCCCTTTGGACACCCCTGTTCTAGGCCAATCACAGTAATTTCTGTTGAGCAGTGTTTAAGAACATGCTCAACAATACTCAAATATTAGCAAAAATGGATTTTTTTTTTATTTATTTCAGTATTGATTGGTACCAAATTCCAGAATCATGACAACCCTAAATTCAACATTGCATGTCTTGCGATGTGACTAGTGGATACACACATTGCGATATTAATGCTAAAATGATATATATAAATATATATAATCACATTTATTGCATTACAAAAAATGATTGAGGACATGTCCACGTGTTGTGCGTAGGCATAGGCCGGTATAAGATTCTGACGGTAGGATAACCTTGGATAAAAATATCACTGTTTCATGATACCACGGTATTGTGATTACCTCTCTAAAATAGGTTTTAAATGTCTGGGTAATATTTTTTTTTACCATTTGAACGCAATATGTTTTATTTTGAGAAACATTAATAATAGTTTTGGAGCCATAAACATGTCAGGCTGAATAATGAAAATAAATTGACTTTTACTCTCTTCATGTATTTGAAAAACACAGATTTCTTTACGATTTAAACAGCATCTTTAGATATCTTTTCTGAGGAAGATACTGTTCTCATAATAAACATCTCCTGAACATAAAAAAACGCATACCTTACGCATACCTTAAGAACGGTAAAGCAGAACATTTTGGCGGTTTTGAAACCTTGACTTTTCTAATCCGCGGTATACCTTGAAAACGGTTATCATCCTATGCCTTGTTGTGTGATAAGTTGATATATTAAATATTGTGAATAATCTGTTTTAAAATGCATCCATACTTTTTTTTTTATTGTGGTTTAGGTTTTGAAAATGCCTCATAAAATTAAACACAACAGAGTGAACATTTTGTGGAAAGGAGAGCTTTGTTTCATAAAAAAGGAGTAAAATATTGTTTTGAACACAGAAATATATATACCTGTACATGTTGATGATACATCTGTACGTCTTCCCATTGCCTAATGCACATTATATTGGTAAATGGTTTAAAATGTCCCAGGCAAATTTATGAAAATGATTTATGAAAATGAGTGATGAGGGTGTGTGCTTTTAAAATGTTCTTTCTTATAGCAATTATCATTCGTATTATTTAGCCACATATGCAACACATTCAGAAAAAAATCCCCTGACATAAGAGCTAAAGTTTATTTTGGTAGATTCAATTGTTTTATTCCACATAGAGTCGTTGTATAACCATTTGAGTTGCTTAAAATCAAAGTCAAATCCATTTTAGGTCTGTAAGCTGAGTGACCGGATATTTAACCCAAAACAATTTGGAAGTTTTTTTTATTTTTTATTTTTATCCAATCGTGAATTGATTGAAACTTGTGGGCGTTGCATATCAAAATGGAGCAAATGATGAAAGATTACATAGATTCCTTCTTTGGGATAACATGCAGCAATTGTGCACAATAATATGAGGAGCATGTACATGTGTTTATTTGAATAGTCTATTTTGATCTTTAATACTCTTCTTAAAACACAGTTTCCTGCCTGTGTTCAACAAAGAAAACAAAAACTCAAAAAGTTTCACTGCTGTCATTCAATCTTCATTTTATGGGCCTTTTTCTTGCACCCGTCACTCAAAATCAGTCACTCTCATCAAGTGTTATAAAAAAGAAAAGTGATAACATTACCCACTTAATCCTGAGCAATAGAAAACTCTGTTTAGATGTTTGTAATCCTGGGAAAAACCTTTATAGGAAACAATCAACATAATATCTGTGCAATATATTACAGTTTTGATATGTTCAACACATCTGTGCTGTAGTACATTCTCTACATGTACATCCTCGCTATGATATATCCATGCATGTCATCTGTTTATCATGATACCGTGCCATATTTTATGACAGAAACAACAGGCTTTCAATATTTTTACAGATTAAAAAAGTGCAATCTTGTTTGCATGTGGACTTATCCTGATTAGGTTTGTTTACACACATCCAAATGTGGTTAAAAAAAGCAAATAATGACTGCCTACTATGAAAAGAGTTCCTAAAGAAAGGTCTCTTCGTATGTCTCTTCTGATTTATGAGGCTCATTGGATCTAGAGTCAGATATTAACAACTTGAAATGGTCCCTAGGACTCCTTGTTACTGCCTCATAGGATGGTGGAGAGGATGCATAGCACAGTGTACCCACCATTTTCTCAGGGCCATAGTTCTCTTTAATCATAGACGCTATAAGACCTTCCTGCTCTGGAGCGCTGTCCTCTTCCGACCAGGGCGTCTCTTGGTTAATGTGCCTGTACAAGTAAGAAGCTTGCTTCATTTGCCGTCTAATTAGGTGTGCTCTATAGGCACGCTGGATCAGAGTTGCTGAAATCTCCTCCTGCTTGCGCCGCAGTGTAGTGGTGATGGGTTCGTGAGATATCTTAGAAGGGTTCGTCACCATGAACTTCTCCTCCATTTGTTGCTTCAAAGCATCCATTTCTCCAGTCTCCCCAAGGACGCGTTTGGTGAAAGCGAACAGGATGTCCAGGCAATGGATCCTGTCACCGTTGACCATGGGTAGATCCATGTGGATGAGTTTGATCTTGTTGGGTTTGGCAATCCTTAGGGGTTCGGAAAGGCTGTCAGCGAAATTGGAGAGTTTGGCGTATTCGATGAAGTGCGTAGCCTCGACATCGAACTTCTCCCAAACTTCGTAGAACATCTCAAAGTCGTCCTCGCTCAGAGGTTCAGTGCTCTCCTCAGTGGCCACGCTGAAGTTCTCCAAAATAATGGCGATGTACATGTTGACGACGATCAAGAAGGAAATGATGATGTAGCTGACAAAGAAAGTGATCCCTACTGAGGGGTGACCACAGTTGCCCTTAGTATTTGTTCCGGTGTTCGCAAAACTGGAGCTACACTCTTCCGGAGAGTTGTTCAGGATAGGATCCAGCAGGTTATTCCAACCGGCCGATGTGGTGATCTGGAAAAGGCAGATCATGCTGTTCCCGAAGGTCTCAAAGTTGAACATGTCATCAATCCCACCCTGCTTCTTCACATAAGCGAAGTTTGCCATGCCAAAAATGGCATAGATGAACATGACCAGAAACAGTAGGAGACCGATGTTGAACAATGCTGGTAATGACATCATTAAGGCAAAAAGTAAAGTCCTTATTCCCTTAGCTGCTCGTATCAGTCGAAGAACTCGTCCTATTCTTGCCAACCGGATGACTCGAAAAAGAGTTGGGGAGACAAAGTACTTTTCAATTATATCCGCCAGGACAATTCCTGTGAAAAAAGGCACATGATCAAAACATGCAATGAAGGTAGACTCTTTAAAAAAAAATCTCTTGAAGAATTGAGAAATGCAACAATAGTATGAAAATCTTAAGACTACAACATCCCAGTTGAAAAGACCAGCTGGTGTCGCCTCCATGTTTCTTAACTAACTAAACCAAACTTGCTTGGTTTTGTCGTAATGGTGACCAGATAGACCAGTACCAAAGCATTAATTACTTTTAAACCAAGTTGGTCTTTTCAGCAAGGAAAGTATCTTTCCATACATACCACTTACCAGACTGGAAAGTCGTGCACTTACCAACGATGGACAGAATGACGACTACAAAATCAAATATGTTCCAACTAATGGTGAAGAAATAACAGCGGAGGGCAAAAATCTTGATGAGGCATTCAGTAGTGAAGATGACAATGAAGGCCAAGTTGATGTTATTGAGGATGGTCTCCATGCGAGCAGATTGTTCATCAGTCTCAACCATCATGGTTATCATATTGAGGATAATGAGCATCATAATGGTTATATCAAAGGCTTGCTTGGACACCAAGTCGAAGAAGAATCCTTGTAGAATATTCTAGATGGAAATGTATTTGTAGTGAGATTTTTGAAAGAGTACTTATGAAAGTAATTACTAGTTTTCAGTTACAATAATGTTAAATTACCATTGGTCTTGGAATTGGCTTCTGTGGCTTTTTAGATCCAAGTTTCTTCATTGCGTTGTAGTACTTTTTCTGCTCTTCGGTCATGAATATGTCTTGGCCACCTTTAGTACAAAGAACAACGGTTGGTATTATTTTCATGGAACACATTACATGTCAAACAAAATGTGTTTAGAAAAGAAGCCAATCTTAAACACCTATCATTCTTTTTTGTTGATTGAAATTGTCGATAATGACACCGATGAACAAATTCAGGGTAAAGAATGATCCAAAGATGATGAAGATGACAAAGTAGAGGTACATGTAGAGGTTTATCTCTTTGATGGGCTGGTCCTCAACCTGACAAACAAGAAAAGCATAAAACTCAGAGGATTCTAACAATTATTAATAACTAAAGGAATTTTATGTAAATAGATATACAGTGGGGGGAAATACGTATTAAACATGTCATGTTTTTTTCCTGGCACTAATATTTCTAAAGGAGCTGTTGACATGGAATTAAACCCGATTTTGGTAAAAACCCAAACAATACAAACATAAAATAAAACAAGCGCTGACTCCCATATGGAGAATGAAGTCACATGTATTGCTTAGGTGTAAGTTATTAAAAAACTTCAACAAAGTGTAAAATCTTGATGGTTCTGTGGATCTCGTCAATCAAAGCTGATCTTTATTTTGCGTTTTCTGTTGGATTCAAGTCAGGTGGTTGGCTGGGCCATTCTACAGCTTGATTTTCTTTCTCTGAAAGCATTTGCGAGTTTCCTTGGCTGTGTTTTGGATCATTGTCTGGCTAAAATGTCCACCCTGGTTTCATCAACCTGATAATGTAGATGTTGGACTGAAGCCCCTAATATTAATGTACAATGAGTAAAGGCAGAGGGTTGCTTAATAACAACTAAGAGTTTTCAGCTGGTTGTCTGGGCTTTCACTGCCTTTCTAAACCTCCCTTTCTTCATGTGTTCGATACTTTTTTTTTTCTATGTGTCATTTCCTTTTTATTACACATAACTTCATTTGTAAAACAATTAGTTTTGTTTTCTTTGCATATACGATTTACCAACATCCAGTGAAAATTTTAAGTCAACATCACCTTTAGAAATGTTTTCTGAGAAAAAATTTCCCCCACTGTGGCTGGTTTCTTTAGTAAATTTTTAAGCAAGCCTTTAATTTTACTAAAAAGAACATGCTTACTCCACGGGAATCAACGGCGGCATACATGATTTCCATCCAGCCTTTGAATGTAGCCTGAAAAACAGAATAAATCAGAATATAAGTATTAAATGATTCAAAATGCTTAAATATCCACCTAAAAGACTGCATTTTTTCAAATACATGCTTTGCGTCTAGGTGGGAACATCTCTGTCCATGCCTGACTTGATTTTTTTAGTCCTGGGTAATTACGCATTTAAGTTTCATTCCTTCTGTAAAGACATTGACTTGTGACTCACTAAGAGTCAGCATGAATGCTATTAAGCTAGGCCATTTTGGGATGTTGTTGCCATGGTCACAGAAATTATAACCTGTGGTGATTGAGAGACTGTTCTTAGAGGTAAATGACAGGTTAAGGCCCAGCAAGGAGTTGCAGGACCTTGTAGATCTCTGGTTGCTTGGCTACCTCAGTAAATATGAGGGATTATTTTACAGCAGAATAGGATAAATGTGCTGAATGGGCTTCCTTTCAGTTACTGTATGTGAATTTGAATCAGTCAGTGTTGGATATTATGAATTTTATTCTATAAATGTCACGTGGACTTGTAATCAAAGTAAGATCCCCTTTTTACTTCATCTCCTTTTTGATTGGTGTTTTTTTGTGCAAGAACAGGATCCACATTAGGGTTGTGTCAATAGACGATGCCATAATCTATCACTGATGGCTGATAGACATCACAATGCTGAGCCGACATCGTAATCCTCCAGCTCGCCCACACCACAGCAGCAACCCTCTCACAAAAAAATACACATTTAGGCCACGTTTACACTAATTCGTCTTAGTTTTAAAATGGCATTTTAGAACGAAAACGATCCACGTCCACACTGGCGTTTCATCTACCGTTTCTAAAAAACGTTCTACACTATACCGCTTAAAACACATCACATGACCGCATATACACTCACATACACACACTCTGGCATGCACTGCAGCATATGCGCACGTCTGAGCTCCAGGCAGTCAGCAGGTGTTTTGAACACAAAACCGCAGAGAGCAGTGCAAGTGGGACTGTTTATCAAGCATATACCGCTGGATTGCGTCTCACTATAGTTGTTAAACATGATGTTTAATTTATTCTGTCTCTATCTAACGACTCTTTTGTCTTTTGAATCTATCAGGTAAGGTGTCATGCTGCGTTCACACCAGATGAGTGATTTACATGTTAAGTCAATGCAAACGTTCGAATAGACATACTGCAGCGCGAATGGCGCAGCGCGAATTGAGCGTTTTGCGCGTTTGATGCGATTAACGTGCAATTCGCGCGTTTGACGCGATTAATGCGTGTTTCGCGCGAATCACTCGAGTTTGAAAATCTGAACTTCAGCTGACATTCGCGGCGCGTTAACCAATCAGAAGCTTGCTCTTGTGGGGGTGTGATTGTGACGTAGAACCTGTTGATGGTGTCCCGGGGGAAATCCTCCAGGCGACACTGACAACAAGTCATCAAAATGGGCTTGGCTCAGTCAGAAGCACCGCTGAAAGGCTCCGTGATCCAGGTTTAGTTTCTGGAGGAGTTTATGAGCTCACACAGCTGGATACACCTCTGAAAGCATGTAGTGGACTCAGACAGTGTCCTAAATGTATCAACACTGTTTTTCAGTCTTCATAAAGCACATAAACACTGTTATTTTCTTCATAAAGTCCATGTTAGCCATTTAGCAATGAAGCTAGAGTCACCGGGCAGACAGAAGCCCTGCCCATCATGCGAATCCGTGGCTGTTTTGAAGTAAATTTGACGTGCGAATGAAGCGGGGTTTGACGCACGAATGAAGCGAGTAACCTCAAATGTTCACACAGCTATTTACATGCGAATAGCGCGATTTATCCGCACGTTCCACGTCTGGTGTGAACGCAGCATCACAGCATCAGGACACTGCTTCAATCTTTCGCTTTCACACTAGTATTTAGTAATTTCATTGAAAACCTCAGATACTGATGGTTGGTTCCTGTTGGTTGTGCACCTTTTTTTTACCTACCAACTTGAGTCATGTGGAAAAAGTGATTGACGCGGTAATTTGTGTGTGATTCATCTTTATTTATGATTTGGTTGTGTAAAAACTACACGAGTCAGATAGTTGAAACGGTAGGCTACAAATAATTATTAGTTATGAATGAATGAATTATTCATAAATAATTAATTCACTGCCGCCTACGACGACAACGACATCGCCCAACCCTAATCAACATGCCAATCACATGAGACCCAATAGCAAACCACAAACATTAAAATCAATTCTCCATAAACAAAATCAATGTTTGATTTTCACTCTGTTTTTCTTGTTCAGGAAGCCATTTAAAGAGCCCATATTATGGGTTTTTGAAAATTCCCCTCCATGTAGTGTGTAACACAGCTCTAAGTGAAGTGAAGTATCCAGCTAAGGCTTAAATCTGTAAGAGTACAGTGTTTAAAACGGTTGATTCATCTATAAAAGAGTCGACTCATAGTGCTTCAAACGAGTCGCCTTGATACCGACTCATTAGGTGTTTCGCCATGACGTACGAACGAAACCAAGTTATTCACGTGCACGCGCAAACCCGGGAGATTTCAAACCTGAGGCCCCGCCCTCTGACGCAGAAACCCAGACACACACACGCACACACACACACACACACACACACAAACACACGCACACCCACAAACACACGCACACAAACATGCCGGTCGATTGAAGTCACACTGCAGATAGATATATTGAGTCTCTACCCAAAGATGAAACCTCAGCATTATAACCAAGCAGTTGGAAACTTCTGGAAGCTACATGCTACAAAGAATACTTCATCTGAGTTTGTTAAAGGAAGGATCAGTAAAGAGTAACTGATGGACGTCAGGATGGGTTTCTTCCATTTCTCAAGTGTAAGTACGTGCGGTTAAAGTTGTTGCCTCGTTGACTCTAGCTTGCAAATGTATTTAGTTGTGATTTGTTACTTGTAACCGCGTGTACTGTATCAGGTTAACTGGATATTTTATCTTATCGCGTGCAAAGTCACGTTAAAAACGCGACGCGTGCTGTTTGTTTATGGAGCTCCGTGCTAGAGTTCTGCTCCCGCGATTTATTCGGAAATTTATTCCCGCGCCGCAGAAATCTGGCGCGGGGACAGCCGCGGGAATAAATTTCCGAATAAACCGCGGGAGCGGTCGGTAACGGGTTTAATTTGGGACGGGAGCGGGCTGTCTAGCAATATCACGGATATTGCTATGCGAATTAGAAAGAGAGAGTCTGCGTGGTGCTTGTGTGTGTGTTAGTGCGCACGCGCGCGTATGAGAGAGAGAGAGAGAGAGAGAGAGAGAGAGAGCGAACGAACGAACGAACGAGCGAGCTTTGTGCTGTGTGTGTGTGTGTTTATACAGACAGTGATTTTTGGTTGTGTTCTCCGCTCTAGCGGGACCGGGCGCGGCGGGCAGAAAACGGAGCGGGTTCTTAGGCTAAAACCTGGCGGGTGCGGGCGGAAGCGGGAGCGTTGTCATCCGGAGGTGTGTGTGTGTTTTTGTGTGTGTGTGGTATGGCGAGTACACGACTGTCTCCTTCGTTCGGTTATCCGTGGCACTATCCACTCGCCATAGTGTGGCAGCTAAAATCCACGTCTACACTATCGAGCGTGTATGAACTGTGATTACTTTTTAAATTGCTGATTAGCTATTGGCCATTTCCCTCTCTGACTGAAGGCAGTCGACCAATCGCGACAGACTGTCATCGGTCCAATCAGCGCAGATTAGCTTCGCGCTAAGGAGGGGTTTGGGAACAAATGAATCACTGGACGATTCATACAGGAGTCGCTGGGATAATTAGCTAAAAATAAATGCAGATTATAAGACCATGAAAGTGTTTTTTGACCTTGCATGCATATTAGACTGTTGTTGGAGACCCTTACAACCAGGATATGACCCTATTTCATGTATAATATGGGCTCTTTAAAGAAAATTCAGTCCAATTCTGGATGCATTCTCAGATACTCACCACCTGCAGAAGTGAGAGGTATCCGAGTCCCACGTTGTCGAAGTTGACTTTCACCTTGGTCCAGTAGAACTGTGTATCATTCATGGACAGGCACTCTGTCTTGTTGTTGACAATGCTTGCATTGTGGATGAATCCTGTCCTATTGACACATTTGCCAAATTTCCCAGCAAAGAGATTGACGCCCATGATACTAAATATGAGCCAAAAGATCAGACACACCAGCAGTACATTCATGATGGACGGGATGGCCCCGATCAGTGCATTCACTACAACCTGCACAACAAAAAAAAACAAACAGAGCAATCATAATGCATGCAATACAATATATAAATGGATGCAGCAGAACATAAACTATTTATTAGGCTCTTTTAGATAAATAATACAGGTATATTTTTCATTTCTCAAGACATGCACAATTAATCATAACCGTGCTTCATCATTAAAATAATGCTGATTAAAAAAACAACAATTTGTTTTAACTCAAAAAGAGACTTTGTTTCATCACATACTGTAGTGTCACGTTTCTATTTGTGTTCCATAGATGTTAGTTTATGACATGCTAGTCTTGTTTTATTTGAGCCCCCTTTTCCTGCTTCTCATTTGTTTTTTAGGATTTTCACTAACATTCCAACATTATTTTAATGTTTTTATGTTTAATTTAATCCATGGCTTTTGGTGTCATTTGATTGCATCTGTTTTGACCGTTTAAAATTGCTGGTATTTCTTTATTTATTCTCATTTTAAAGCATTGCCTTAATTATTAAAACACTGATAATTACTAAAACACTGATAATTGACAGAAGCAAAAAAATACACTGCTCAAAAACAAGGGATGGGTACTGAAACTGTGCTTTGTCTGTATCGGTATTAAAACCGAAGTATCGATAAGCTCTGACGTTAACGGTTCTGCTATCAGTACTGGAGATTTATTGCTGAATAAACATTACTTACAGTAGCATAATTTAAGTGACCAAGTTTTCTAAGTGGGGATATTTGATATTCGTTTACACAGTTGGCAATCTCACATGAGAAATGCTCGTGTTTCTGGCGAGCGCATAAAATATAAAAGCTTTCACAGTTCTCGGCTATGCGTGCGCACTGAGCAGAGGCTTGTGCTAAGCACACACACATAGCTCGCGACAGACTCGCGCTCACTTAGCTCTTAAACTTGCGGAGTAAACCAAATGGGTTGTATTTCCTGTGTAGACAGTGACAATGCACAATGCAACAAACGCAGCAAGTTGTTTTCTTGTATAAGCGGAAACGCACGCAATTTGGCTAAGTGAAATATCTTTCAAAAGTGCATTTACTGCAGAGCAAAGTTTTGACTGCCTACCTACTAATGGTAACTTTACATCATCCACATCGTTATGCCAGCAGTCAATCACCTAAACTAGTATAACAGTAATAGTAAAATAAACACACACATTCAGTTAAAATGAAAGCAGTTTTTTTCTGCAGCAGCCTAAATAAATCTTAAACATTAAAAATGCTTTTACATCAGCTGTATTTACAAATAGCCTATGATCAGCCTAATAATAAACTATGCTTAAGAAATTATACAAAAAAATGCTTGTTTTCACATTGCAAGATGCTTCAAAACTGTATCAAAAACACAGTAAACTCCCAAACAACGTTAACTTATTAATGTGAATGTGTTGATGAAATATCATAAACATTATTCTCATTTAACTGCATTTTGTAACTCAAAGAGGGTATTTTCATCTGCCGAGAGCACAATAAACCAAGAAAGATCCCGACTTCTGCCAGAAAAGTCAAACATGTTGATTTTTCTCCAGAAGCATGGTTAAAAACCATCATTTTCCTTCAAACCATTGTACATACTTTTACAGGAAAAAAAAATTGTTTTACAATTATTGGTTTAATTTTATTTGACATTAAAAACATCGATAAGAGAACGGTTAAAGTACCGAACCAATAAGTGGTATCGATAAAAGTAGTAATACCGTTAAAACCTTAACGATACCCATCCCTATCAAAAACTAAAGTGAACACTAAAATAACACATCCTGGATCTGAATGAATGAAATATTCTTATTTAATACTTTGTTCGTCGGGCCCTCATACCACCCTCATGGAGTCTGTTTCTGATCACTTGAGCAAACACATATGCATATTTGTGGCCTGCTGGAGGTCATTTTACAGGGCTCTGGTAGTGCTCCTCCTGTTCCTCCTTGCACAAAGGTAGAAGTAGTGGTTCTGCTGCTGGGTTTTTCCTATGGCCTAATTCCCTATCATTTCCACCTGTTTTCTATTCCATTTGAACAACAGCATGTGAAATTGATTGTCAATCGCTGCGTCCCAAATGGCACACTATACACTATGCACTATGTACTTATGCACTTACACACTCAACAGGATCGTAAATGTATGTAGTGTCATCCCAAATGGCACACTAATGTTTTTTTACTAAGCGGAAATTCAAACCGTTTCCCTGACAACATTTGACGGTTGCCAAATAAGTGAAATAAACGACCGAGTTATTAAATAATACCTGCCGTGAGTATAACCGCATTCACCATCAGGGGGGCGCTATAATCACTCTCGTAGGAGAATTTTGCTTTCACCATCCAAAATAAATAAAGTTATTCAACATGTGCGCATGATAGCTCCGCCCCTTCGGATACATAGGCAAACCTGCGGTCGTTGAGTGCGTGAAGTGTCCATCATTACACACTTCATTTTAGCGGCTGAATTGAGTGAATCATCCGGGTAATTAAAGTGCACTTATTATTTTTAGAGTTTTCAGTGTGAACACACTACTTACACTATTTATACTACAAAATGGCGTAGAATAGTGCATAAGTATGCTATTTGGGACATAGCTAATCAGTAGTGCTTCGTAAGTGGGTCGTTTGATTTCACAGAAGTGTGATTGACTTGAAGTCACATTGTGTTTAGTGTTCCCTTTATTTTCTGAGCAGTGTATTTGATGGTAGGGCAAAATCATAAGCTCCCAAAGTCATAAGTACTTCTGGACTTCATTCACCAAACATGATCAGTATTACTAAATGTTTAGGTAATTGAAAAATACATAAGAAAGCATCTTACCCTCATTCCTTCAAATCTAGATAGGGCCCTCAGGGGTCGCAGAGCTCTGAGAGTCCTCAAAGACTTGATGGCCCCGAAATCAGAGTAGCCAAGGGAGTTCGCAACCAAACTAATCAAAGACACCTAAAAAGAAGGAATTATACAAAATGTTTAATATAAATATTTTATATTGAACATCTCTTAATCTTTTTATTATAAAAACTATGTAAAATACATTATAAAAGTTGGAAAACAGTCAATTTTAATAAGGTTTCAACTAAGTTGACAGTGTTTAACTTAATATTTTGAGTCAGTTTGATGCAAGTTGAGATGAGTAGAAAAGCTAAATTGACTCAACTGAAAAATTAAGGTTTTAAGATTGTTTTTACAGTGTGGTAAAATTTATTCAGTGGACTGATGAGGTGAAATGAAGACAAAACATGGACAAGTATACATATATGTACATCAAACGTATATATACTCCGCTATATATGCATAATCCATATGCATATATATAAAATAGAGTGAGGTTTTATAAAGACTTTGGGTTGTTCTTTTTAATCATTCCTTCTTTTGATCAGATGTTTCTTTTCAATCCAAACAAATTCTGTATTGCAAAATAGGTTAGTGTATCTTAGTTTGGATGAAGATCATTTAATCTCCCAAGCATCGTCAGTTCTTTATAAAAAACAATTTCTATAGTTTTCCTTGTCACTGCAATATATCCAAAGAAGATATTTCTGTGCAACTGGCTTTAATTCAGAGATGTACCACTGAATTAACTAAAGAATTTAACTAAATCACATAATGAAAATAACTAAAGAATCCAGTTAAATATTTCTTTCAATTTGTCATACTAATGTGTCACCGTATGTACAGTGCATTCAGAACGTGTTCATAGCGCTTCAATTTTTCCTTGTTTTTTATGTTACAGGCTTATTCCAAAATGGATTAAATTCATTTATTTCCTCAGAATTCTACACACAATTCCCCATAATGACAATGTAAAAATTTGAAATTGTTACAAATTTATTGAAAATAAAAAACCTGAAAAATCACATGTACAGAAGTTTTCAAAGCCTTTGCGCAATAGTTTGTTGATGCACCTTTGGCAGCAGTTACAGCCTCAAGTCTTTTTGTATATGGTGCCACAAGCTTGGCACACCTGTCTTTGGGGATGTTTGCCCATTCCTCTGTGCAGTAGCTCTCAAGCTCTATCAGGTTGGATGAGAAGTGACTGTTTACAGCCATTTTCAGATCTCTTCAGAGATGTTCAATAGGATTAACATCTGGGCTCTGGCTGGGCCACTCAAGGACATTTACTGAGTTGTTGTGAAGCCACTCCGTTGACATTTTGGTGGTGTTGTTTGGGTCATTTTTCTTTTGGAAGTTGAACCATTGCCCCAGTCTGAGGTCAAGAGCACTCTGAAGCAGGTTTTCATTCAAGATGTCTCTGTACATTGCTGCATTCATCTTTCCCTCTATCCTGACTAGTCTTCCAGTTCCTGCTGTTGAAAAATATCCCCACAGCATGATGCTGCCACCACCATGCTCCACTGTAGGGATGGTATGAGCATGGTGATGATCGGTGCCTGGTTTTCTCCAAACGTAACGCCTGGCATTCACTCCAAAGAGTTTAATTTTAGTCTCATCAGACCAGAGAATTTTGTTTTCTATGGTCTGAGAGTCCTTCAGATCCCTTTTGGCAAATTCCAGATGGGCAGTGGCTTCTGTCAGGCCACTCTACCATACAGGGCTGATTGGTGGATTGCTGCGCAGATGGTTGTTCTTCTGTAAGGTTCTCCTCTCAGCACAGAAGAACGCTAGAGCTCAGACAGAGTGACCATCGGGTTATTAATCATCTCCCCCGATCACTCAGCTTAGATGGCCGGCCAGCTCTAGGAAGAGTCCTGGTGGTTCAAACATCTTTCACTTATGGATGATGGAGGCCACTGTGCTCATTGGAACTTTAAGAGCAGCAGATATTTTTCCTGTAACCTTCCCCAGCCTTGTGCCTCGAGACAATCCTGTCTTGGAGGTCTACAGACAATTCCTTTGTCTTGTCATGCTTGGTTTGTGCTTTGACATGCACTGTCAACCCTGGGACCTTATATAGACATGTGTATGCCTTTTCAAATCATGTCCAATCAACTGAATTTACCACAGGTGATCTCCAATGAAGCTGCTGAAACATCTCAAGAATGATCAGTGGAAACAGAATGTACCTGAGCTCAATTTAGAGCTTCATGCCAAAGGCTGTGGATGCTTGTGTACATGGGATTTTTCAGGTGTTTTTATTTTTAATAACTTTGCAACAATTTCAAAAACTCTTTGTTTCACATTGTCATTATGGGGGATTATGTGTAGAATTTTGAGGAAATATATTTATGTAATCCATTTTGGAATAAGACTGTAACATATAAAATGTGGAAAAAGTGAAGTGTTAGGAATACTTTCCGGATGTACTGTAGTTCCTGATTTTGTTGACAATCCTAAACATAACCGATCTTCTCCAGATAATTATCTTGAGTGTATTCTGATATAAAAGCCAAGGTCCTGTAGAGATGATTATCAAACTTGACATAATAATCCTTACAAATTGCTGACAGTCAGACAGTGGCGTTTATATGTCAGAGTGGATGAGAACTGCAGCCGAGATACAGATGTTATCCTCTGAACTATGAACTTACCCTATCATTAAAGCTGTGTGTGGAGATCTGCGTGGGTCAAATGAACATAAAATGAAACACACTCACACAGTCTACTTGCGTTTAGCTTTAGTCAGACTCTGGCATTTTATTCACTACGTTTAAGCGTACGTTTACCTTTATTAGGTATTGTTGGTCGAGATTTTAACGCAAATATCTAATTAACCAATAATATGACAGCATCGCAAATGAAATTAGACATGTAGACATTGTCAATATGATCTGTTGATATTCAAATGGAGCGTCAGAATGGTGAAGGAACATAATTTAACTATGGGTTAGAACTCAAGAGACTAGGCAAGAGAGTCAGAATTTGCTTTGGCCGCCCTACCAACATTAGCTCCATAGTCACCCTGCTATTGGCACTCTGACAGTCAAAATATACCCATTTAAAGCTCTTTGTTTAGTGAGGCTTTTGAGTTCATGTTTAAGTGCTAGTCAAATTTCAACATGCTGTTTATAGATGATGTTTAATAGCATTGGTCTTCTCATTAACGTTCATTTGTGTGCATCCTACATTACAAACTGGGGAACTTGCATAGCAATAATCAACCGCTGTGCTTTGTTTTGCTTGGGACCCAATGTGGTCACACTGCTTTCTCTAGAATTCTCTCACTTGATGGGCTGGTACATTGTTTCTCAACCACGTTCCTGGAGGACCACCAGCTCTGCACATTTTCCATGTCTCCCTAACCAAACACACCTGATCATCAGCTCATTAGCAGAGACTAAAAGACAGGGGTCATCAATCTCGGTCCTGGAGGCTACAACTTGCCTCAACATACCAGCCTGGATGTTTCAAGTATACCTAGTAAGACCTTGATTAGCTTGTTCAGGTGTGTTTGAATAGGGATGGAGCTAAAATCTGCAGGACACCGGCCCTCCAGGATCAAGTTTGGTGACCTCTGCTAAATGACCTTAAATGGTTGTGACAGACAAAAGAGACATCCAGAGATGCAGTGTTGGTGGTCTTCCAGGAAACATGGTTGAGAAACACAGGACTAGTACATTCTGATGGGTTGCTGCTGAATTGCATCATAGCTCATTAGCATAATGTTAACCTAATTTCAAAATTTTTTGATGCCCGCACTTTCCAAAACATCTTGCACCACATCGTCAGTGCTCACCGGTAGGCCCATGCATATAGATTAATATATACAGTTGAAGTCAGAATTATTAGCCCCCTTTTGATTTTTTTTTTCTTTTTTTAATATTTCCCAAATGATGTTTAACAGAGCAAGGACATTTTCACAGTATGTCTGATAATATTTTTTCTTTAGGAAAAAGTCTTATTTGTTTTATTTCGGCTAGAATAAAAGCAGTTTTTATTTTTTTTAAAACCATTTTTGGGACAAAATTATTAGCCCCTTTAAGCTATTTTTTTTGATAGTCTACAGAACAAACCACTGTTATACAATAACTTGCCTAATTACCCTAACCTGCCTAGTTAATCTAATTAACCCAGTTAAGCCTTTAAATGTCACTTTAAGCTGTATAGAAGTGTCTTGAAAAATATCTAGTAAAATATTATTTACTAACATCACGGCAAAGATAAAATAAATCAGTTATTATTAGAAATAGGTTTTTAAAACTATTATACTTAGAAATGTGCTGAAACAATCTTTTCTCCATTAAACAGAAATTGGGGGAAAAAATAAACGGGTGTTTAATAATTCTGACTTCAACTGTATATTTTGTTAGCTTTGTTGTTTTCAAATACAGTTAACCTATCAGTGGTCAATAACCTTTAGGTTATGATTAGGTTATGATAACCTAATCATAACCTTTTCTTTAAAGTTGTCCAACATCTGTTAATCAATACCCATTTTTGTCTTAGGATGATTTAGAAAATCTTTTTTGATCCACTTTAAATGTTAACAAGATTTGTAGTGGTGCACTTAATCTTTGGTTGGAACAGTGCTACATGGCAAAAAAAAAAAAAAAAAAAGTTAAGAAGTTTAGTCTCTTTCATTAAAAAATTCAAGCAATAATTCTGTTCTGATTGTGTCTGATGTGGTGTAACAGATTGATATTGACGCCAAGAATTGGCAGCAAAGTGTGACGTTATTAAAGCCACTGGACACTTCAGCAATTAATTGAAGTATAAATACAAGTTTATATTAGTTTTAGAGGATATTGTGCGTTTACATGTTTAAACACAATCTTTTATTGGACTGTTGTTTGTTATATCTAGTTATATGGCTTCGTAATCTGTGAAGTACATCTTGACATATTTGAAATCCTCTGAACAGATCACAAAATAGCAACAGTTCAACCCAGATCTGCTTATCATCTGGAAAAGACTGTTCTACTCACATCCACGATCAGGAAGTCCAGCCAGCACCAGTAATTAGTGAAGTATTTCTTAAATCCGTACGCAATCCACTTCAGAAACATCTCCAGTACAAAGATGTAGCTGAAAACCTTGTCAGCATACTCCAACACCACCTTCACCACCTTCCGCTGTTCGATGTAAATGTCTTCAAAAGCCTGTCCAAAAGATATAACATAAAACAAGACCAATGAACGAATTTATTTGATGTTTGATCTAATCTCAACAAAAAAATTGAGAAAGGGTGGGATATGGAGTACCTCCTCCTGTAAAAAAAAAAAAGCCAATAGCATTTTGTTTTACCACAGCTCTGCCAGTCAGAGTGGTCTAGCTCAAGCGCATCAAACGAAATGCAAATGAGAAGCATCTTGAAGGGGCGGAGCATGTCAAATACTAGAAAGCCTTTGATTGGTCAGAAGATTTGATAAGAAACTCAAGTATGGGCTGATGTGATATAAATCATTGATCCATTTAGGTGGAAGTGACACTTCAAGCTACTGATGTTTATATATTCTAAATGCTAATTTAGTCACTGTTTTAGAGCACACTGTGTTTTAAATATCCTTAAAACAAACATACAGATAGAAACATCTAAAAAACCTCATTTAAATTTCACTAGACCCTAAAAGTTCTCTGTCCAGTGTGGTTTCTTACCAGAGCTCCGCTGCTGAGGAGGATCATAAAGATGATGAAGGTCTCAAACCAGCTATGCTCCACAATTTGATAGCACGTCTTCCTCAGCCTCCACCACATCTGTCCCAGACCTTGCGTTGTGTTTATATTACAACACTTACAGCGCTGCATGCAGACTGGAGAGATACCAACACATTAGTTTGATCATGTGACTATTCAGTGGGAAAAAAAGTATTGAACTTGTCATGTTTAGTGCTTCCCACAGGTTTGAAATATACTTGCGGCGGTGGCCGGATTGAAACACCATTTACCCACATTGTATAAATAATTAACTATATGCAACAAACAAAGCATAAATTAGTTTTTAACAATAATTGTATGAAAGGGCACATAGTTTACCCTTTTTTATGATTTAATATTAATGTTGTGGTTCTTCTGAGTGTGCCAGTTTAGGTTCAGTTCAACATAGAGGTCTGCATTCCTGCGGCTGTCCCGCGGGCGCCGCGGGACCCGACCAGATTTCTGCGGCGCGGGAATAAATTTCCGAATAAATCACGGGAGCGGTCGGTAACGGGTTTAATTTGGGACGGGAGCGGGCTGTCTACAATATCGCGGATATTGCTATGCGAATGAAAGAGAGAGAGAGATTTGCCTGTGTGTGTGCTTGGTGCTTGTGTGTGTGTGTGTGTGTGTGTATGTTAGTGCGCGAGCGCAAATGAGAGAGAGAGAGAGAGAGAGAGAGAGCTTTCCCAGACAGCAAAATACACTCAGGCCAGTTCCGGCTAGATTCTCGCCTGCCGGAGACTTACCACTTGGCCCGGCTCCGGCTGCCGGACTCGAATCAATCGGGCCAGATGCGGCGGCCGTAAGCGACTCAGTATTTATATACCTTTATATAAAACTTTTTGGTATTACATTGGTACTTGATACATGGTATTACAAGCCTTTGAGTTGATATAACAGCAAACGCCTGTGTGTCTGCTTGGTGCATGTGTGTATGTGTTAGTGCGGGCGCACGTATGAGAGAGAGAGAGAGCTTTGTCTGTGTGTGTGTGCTTGGTGCTGTGTGTGTGTGTGTGTGTGTGTGTGTGTGTTTATACAGACAGCTTGGCTGTCTGGACTGTATAGCTGGGTGGTTTTCGGTTTTGTTCTCCCCCGCTCTTTAGCGGGATTGGGCGCGGCGGCCAGAAAATGGGGCGGGTTGGGCAGCGGGACAACAAATTCTTAATATAAGCGGGAGCGGTCGGGTTCGGGCTAAAACCTGGCGGGTGCGGGCGGGAGCGGGATTCAAAATTTTGTCCCGCGCAGATCTCTAGTTCAACACACAGTTCAGATGTTTTTATAGTAATGTGTTAAAAAGTGTCATGTTGGGGGTGTGTACACAGCTCGCTCTTATAGGGGTGTATTGCTTCACATGAAAATTAGTCTCGGCTTCCCGCCCAACATAACAAGGGGGCGGAGCCAAGAGCTCCTACGCTCTTTGTTTGCAACAGACAGGCAGACAGAGAGAGAGAAGCTAAGATCAGCATTCAGCCGTACATGTACGACTCGGACACAGACCAAGCAGAGAGTTCAAAATCATTTGTGTCTTTGTATTGTCTCGGTGTATAAGTGCCCAGCTTGTACAGCGAGACTAATAACCACACACACTGAATTAACTTTGACTGAGGCACTGAATGCGCTGCGACTTGGCACACCAGACACCTTCAGTGGCGCTGCAGAAACATGAAGTGTCCAGAATCGTAGCGCCACCCATTCCAGAACTCCAAACACAGGCCTTCACCAGGGCAAACACAACGGCACTGCAGCTGCTGAGCAGCCAACCCGAAGCTCTGCCGTGTGGAACCTGACAGAAACCCACGTCCAGAACTCCGAAATGCACGGTGCCGCGCCACACAGAGAGGCGCTTCTGGTGTGTGACCTGCAGGCAAGTTTGTTATAAGTCAACGCACTTGCACTTTTTCAGCTGCAGCTAAGATCACAGGGAGCTTCTGTGTTTGCGAGAAATGCAAACGGCTGAAGTTTAAGGTAGAAGCAGTGAAAAGTAAACGTTTTCAAACCTACCAAAAGGTACAAGCAATAATTCAGATTAGAGTGATAATATGGAGAATATTGATCTTGAGTCCAGTGAGCCAAACATCTAAAAATAGAGCAAGGATGTTCCTTTAGTGACATCGCTTTGACTCACGCTGAAAATGGCGGACGTGAAACAAGAAACTGAGGATATGATCGTAACGCGAGGATGTCAATCAATATTGGTGGGCGGGGGGAATCGCTCTCCTACGTCAAGTTGCGGTCAGTCAGAAAACCGCTCCAATTGGTCCACTGTTTTTATGTTGTTAAATTGGGAAAAAAAGGGCTATGTGTGTTTACATCACCCCAATATGACCGTCTATACACTATACTTACACATGTCTGTCTAAACAGCTTGAAAAGTAGATTTTTCACCATAGGTGCCCTTTAACTATGACACTGTTATACACTGTTTCTTTTAATGGGCTAAAGTAAATAAAAAGACTAGAAATATACTTTTAATTTTATGCTATTCAGGAGCCATGTGCCCCCACTAACAGGTTAAATCTGCTTCTCTCTCTTTCAAGTTATTTTAATGCCAAAGCATTTTAGATATGGATATAAAATAGCCTATATTGACATCATCAAATTAATAAAATAATATACAGCAAAAAAGAAATAAATAACAATAAAAGGAATAAAAACAGACAACATCTCTAAAAATTATAATAATTACAAGATTAAAATCTGTAGATTATTTAAATAATGCAAATGCATTGATAACCATTACTAATGGTGTACCTATATTTTGCGGCCAGTTTAGACAAGTCATTTCATCCTCTTAGAGTATATAGTAAAGTTTTTGTGAGTTGTTTAGATTTAAGAATGAATTATTTAATGTATCTCTCGCAGCTGTGTGAGCAGTCAGCTGCAAAGCTAAGTGCAAGTAAAAAGGTAATGCAAAAAATGCATATGATTAAATAACGACATCGTTAGAAAGCAAATGCAAATGCTGAATCCCTGACATTTTTGAAGATTTAGAAGCTACCAAATTTTTTTCAAGAGGCAAAAGGGTGCTTAGGCGGCAGTTAATATACATGGGCAGCCCGCCCAACTAAAGTCTATGTGTGGGAAGCACTGCATGTTTTATCCTGGGAATAATATTTCTAAAGGAGCTGTTGACATGGAATTGAAGCAGAGTTTGGTAAGATCCCAAACAATACAAACATGAAAAAAAAATCTGAAAAATGAGTTCTGTGTAAAAACAATGAAATGACACAAGGAGAAAGTACTGAGCTTTTTTAAATACTTCATATTAAAGGCTGTTTTGGTGACGGCAGCTTTAAAGATGTCTTTCATATGGAGAATAAGGTCACATGCACTGCTCAGGTGTGAGTTTTTCACAGACTTTAACAGAGTGTAAAAATCTTGATGGTTCTGTGGGTCTCGTCTATCAAATCTGAGCTTTAGGGTGCTTTCACACCTACACTTTTGTTTCGGAACGTATCTCGTTTGCCCAGTTAGCGCGGTTCGATTGGCATATGTGAACAGGGCAATCGCGCTCTGTTCCGCGCCAAAGTAATCGCTCCGAGATCGCTTGAATGAGGTGGTCTCGGCTCGATTAAAACGAACCCTGGAGCGGTTCGATTGCAGTGAGAAAGCAATCCGATCCGAGCGCGGTTATATCACAGTTTTTATGGATATGTAATAGGCTTACGGCTATATGAAGAGAGAATTATGAGTAGGGCCGGAAGTTTCGCGAGTCTCCGGATGCCCGAAAACGAGTGATGATCTCCCGGTAATCTTGTATCTCCCTCCCGGTCCTCAAATAGGCATCGTCGCGCACCCTTCTCACCCCTCCCACCGCGTCTCTCCTCAGACACGTCGTGCGCGCACCCTGTCAATCACCACAAAACCACCACCTCTCCTGACAGCTTAGCGGGACGCTGCAAAATAAACCCTGACACTCTGACCAATGTGAGGAGAGTTTACTCGCACGTGACTTGTTTTAGCTCTTTTGGTCCGATTAGAAACTTTGCGGTGTGAAAGCGAACCGCTCCAAGAGCAAAGAGCAACAATGTAACATTTGTAATCTCTGTTTCGGAACAACTGAATCGATTCACTGGTGTGAAAGCACCCTTAATTTTGTATTCTATATTGGAATCAGGTCAGGTGATTGGCTGGGCCACTCTACAGCTTGATTTTCTTTTACTGAAAGCATTAGAGAGTCTTCTTGGCTGTATTTTAGATCATTGTCTTGCTAAAATGTCCACCCTGGTTTCATCTTCATCATCCTGGTAATCTAGATGTTGGACTGAAGCAGCTAATATTCATTAACCATGATGAAGGGAAAAGAGTTGAACTATGGATAGCTTTCAGCTGCTGTCTGGGCTTTCACTGTCGTTCTACACCTCTCTTTCTTCATGTGTTCAATACTTTTCCCTGTGTCATTTCCTGTCATTACACATAACTTCATTTGTAAACTAATTCGATTTGTTTTCTTTGCATATATGGATTGCCTTTGTTGTTACCAAAATCCGGTGAAAATTTTAAATCATCAGCGCCTTTAAAAATATGTTTTCTGAGAAAAATGGTGACGTGTGCAATATTTATTTACCCCACTATATAGGAAGTGTCATAGCCACAGGAGAACAAATATGAATATTTTATCTGCTTACACTCTGGAAAACACTCTTCTGGATCCATGCCATCATCTGCCATCTCAGAATATTCCTCTTCATCTTCTCCAGGCTTCCTCAGATCCACGGTACTTCCTTCAGAGAGGCTGATGACTTCCTTTTGAAAGAGACAGCATAGTTTGCATTGAGATTTGTGCAGAATTTGTTTAGAGTCAACCATTATAATAAATAGACTAGCATCCAATGTTAACTCAAGGCAGCATTTGTTTGAACAAAAGTGAAGTAGGAGTAGTAAACCTTTTAAAACAGGAAACCTTTTCATCTAATGTTCCTTGCTGGTGGATTGATCTTCCACACAGTCTGCAGATTTATTAGTATCATTTAGGGCTGGGTGGTATGTTGGGTTCTGGAGATATATCGATATGATTCCCCAATGCGATGCGGGATTATTCAATATCTTTGATATTGATATGGTTTGAGGCCACACTTGCGCAATCTGCGCAAAACAGACCACTCCAAGGTAGCTCACAAGCTCCACTTGCACAAATGAGCACATGCACAAATAAATGATTCACTCCCTGAGTCATATAAAAGATTTGTTAAAAATGAACGAATCGTTCAAGAACGACCCATCATCACACGCGACATGGAAGAACATGTAGTGCCGGTGATGTATCGAAATCTGACTCCCCCTCACGTGTACGCATGTGACACCGCCCCTGCAGCTGTCACAGCAGTTTATTAGAAATCTTTTATCGATCATTTTTTCCAAAATTTACATCAAAAACGAACATAGAAGCCTTGTAAAATTGACAAGCAGCACCTGAATGTGTTCACAAGAATTAAAAACACCCAAATAGAACGAATTTTTACCGCATTTCCAAAGTGAAACCACCCTTATATTGACTGATTATAGGTTCAGTGTTTATTACACGACTGTCTCTTCTTTACGTTTAAATTAAAACACATTTAGCTCTGCATTCTGGTCTGTTGTTGCATTTCAATTTCGATTATATTTTATTCATTGTATTTATTTATTCATTCTACTTAATTTATTTATTTTAGCCCCTTAACCGGAAGACGTGATTTGATTTGTATGTACCCCTATAGTGTACAAACGATTGATGGTTTAAACGATTATTAAAACTTAAAAAAAAAAAAAGTGCAATTAAAAAAAACATGCTTTTGTCTACCAAACCTTTTTTTTTCTATTTTATTATCTGCTGTTAGCTACTCTTTGAACAAATAACAACATAAGAATGATAATTACAATAATGATAATAACAGGGGGTAAACCCTTCTGTTTAAATTATATTTTGCTTAAAAACTGTTTAATAAAGTTTTAATAGAGGCTTATGCAACCATTTATGGGAAAATACCGGATATATATATATCATATAATATCATTTCTTCTAAAAATACAAACATATTATTTGCCCATATCGCCCAGCTCAGTATAATTTAAGTAATGAAGAGATGGAGATGCTTGTCCATGGCTTTATCTCTTCATGGTTGGACTATTGTAATGTTCTGTACACTTGTCTGAACAAATCATCTATGGAGAAACTGCAAGCTGTGCAGAATGCATCTGCGAGGCTTTAATCAACACCAGTAGGAGGTCGCACATTACTCCTGTGCTTTAAGTTCTTTGCTGGATTAGTTTTAGAGTTCATTTTATGATTCCAGTAAATACATATGGAGCTCTGCATGGTCAGACTCCCCTTTATATTCAAGATCTTCTACATGCTCATTCTTGTGGCCGGGCTCTGTGGTCTTCTGGCTAAGAACTTTTTAGTATTCCCAGAACTCGTCTTAAGATTAAAAGAGGCTGTGCTTTCTGTGTTGTGGCTCTTAGCCTCTGGAACTTTCTCCCTTGTGCGTTGAGAGCTCTGGGCTCAGTTGAATATTAGAAAAAAACATTTAAAGACATATTTTTGGACAAGCTTTTAATTAGCAGTATGATGAGCTGGTTTTACAATTGCTGTTATTTGTACATGGATTTTAACCTGTTTTTATGTATGTTTTCTTTAACTGTAAAGCACTTTTACTTCTTGTCTGTGAAAGGTGCTAAATTAGTACATTTTTCACTTCTGTCTTCTGAGACCTGAACCCTTGTGAACAAAACCAGGACCCCCTCCACATCACACGACAACCTCAAAACATGATCAATTCTGATTGTGCCTCACACAGGTGAGTGGGCTTTACAAACCACCTGTAGAAAACTGTCATTTTAAACCACACTTGCACCAGTTTTGCACATTTGCACCAGACTGTTTCTTACAATTACTCTACATCTGAATTTGAATGTTTGAATTTATTTTATTTAACTGGGACAATGCTCATTAATAAAAAGTAGAACTGTAAATAAGTTATCCACAAGGGCTAATTTTCATCTGTTGCCCCCTGCCAGATTTTTAAAAGCAATCTAAAATAAAAAAAAAAAACATGTCATCATACATAAAAAAACAGTAAAGTTACATAAGACAAAGGGATAAAACATATAATAAAAATTTCTTAAAATGTTAGACAAAAGAATTACACATGATTACCAACTTGATTTGCTTTTAGACATTTCTTTAACTTGTATTTAAATGTTGAATAACTTGTAAAACCCCGTAAAATCCATAAGACGCATGTTCCAGAAAGGACTGGCTCTAATTGAGAAGCCTGATCGTGCAAAAGTTGTACGCCTAAAGCCTGATTTATACTTCTGCGTCAAGTGACCGGCGTAACCCACGGCGCATGCAACGCGCGTGGCTGTGCATTTATACTTCTGCGCGCTGTCTCTGTTGGTCTGCATTAACACTTCCGAAACACTAGTTGGCAGTGAGGTGTAAATGTTCCTCTGTGTCAAGTTTCTTCTCTGCTTTTTTGCTTTTCCTGAACACTTCCTGGATGTACAAGTGGCTCAAACTCGCTCATTTTGAGGCAGGAACCGGCGGATGTGCAACAACTTTAACTATGAGGTTAAACAAAAAAAAACTTTCCATCCGGAGCTCCTTCACGGGACTCCACAATTGTAAACAATCGCTACATTGGGTTCGCGCCATTCGCGCGGCTCTCGGTCCCACCCAGACTCGTCAGCGCCACCAAGCCGACCAATCACAGAGCTTGCGCTACGCGTTGTAGCGACGTGAAGTTACATTTTTTGAGAGGTGCACGTCAGCGACGGCCACGGTGAAGGGCTATGCGTCAGCGCTGTAGCATACGCCGGTGTTTGACGCAGAAGTATAAATCAGCCTTAAACTGCACAGCACAGTCTCCCCTGGTAACAGATTGTGTGAGGGGGGAGGGGGGTACACATACAGAACCGTCTATTTAGTATTATGGAAAGGCAAAGCTGAAAATCTGTGGTTAAAGTGCCACCCAGTGGTCAAAAGCTGCTGGTGCACCAACTACCGCCGCCGCAGCGGTATGAACTGGCAAAGGGAACAAATTAAAGTAGTGACATCTTTATACAGGCAAATCCAGATTCAGTCAAAAACACAGGCGAGTGGTCAAAAAGCAGGCAGCAGACAGGGATAAACGATAAAACAAACAAAACACAGCAAGGTTCAAAAACACGGAAAGCAAGACAAGGAAAAACGCGTTTTAATGTCACAGAAACCGATAACAAGACTCAGCAACAATGTGTGTGTGTGTGCTGTCTTTTTAATCCTTGTACTCAGTGTTTGACAATCCTCCAGTTGTGTGTTTGCAATCAGTCAGGATTAGGAACCGCTGTGTTTGTGTGTGGTGCTTGACTGGATCTTGTAGTCCATGAAATGGCGGATCTGTAGTCTGTTGGCGATTCGTGTTTATACCAGCTATCTGCACAGGCTAGATTGCTGGTCACCCTGACAATAATAGTTATGCATCTTCTTTGGAATTACAACTTTTTTTTTTCAGAAACAACTTTAAGTGATAGTTGTCACCGCTTTCACAAAAAAAAAAAGTGTTTTTATAAAGTTTGACTCTGGAGAGAATATAAAACTCCTACCATAGATGTTTCATGTATCTCCGTTTTGTTTTGCATATATCATAATCTGTCTGTGTTCTGTAGGTTTTTATGTATACTACTTAATGTAATGCATGTTATCATTTAGCCGCTTGGACCCATATACTCTAGTATTATATATCATGCTAATTAAGTAATTTGAACATTCGTTTGTGTATAACATTTCAAATAATCCAGGAAATCAACATTGATTGAAAAATCCTCTTTGTTTGGCATGATAACATCACAGGCCGCTAATAGAATGCATGCATTGCAGATACATATGGCCTTATACTAGCATATGCATCTAATCCATGAAGTCAAGGTCAGTGACCTCCAGTATAATCTGAGACGGCGAGAGAGAGAGCTGTTCTAAATCTGCCTGAATACACACTCATTCTCCTTGTTTCATTTTCTCTGCATCAGCAATAGGCATGCCTTAATACAATTTTGATGAGATTTTCCCTGCATGTAATGGCAACATATTTAAAATGATTTAGGGAGATTACTGGCCTGAAGGTGCCAGCACAATCCAATAGTGCTGCTTATGTAATCCCACATTACGAAGCAAGCAGTATGTGTGTGTGTGTGTGTGTGTATGTGTGTGTGAGGCTGGATTATTCTTAATTTTGTGTCTCTAGGATGTCAAAAGGGTTATAGTTTAAATTTGCAAGCAAACCACTTCTTTAAGTTCACACTAGGGTGCTTTTTAAACCTTTTTGATAAGTGTTGTATTTAGCGCTGTGCAATTAATCGAAAATTCAATTTCGATTTTGGATTCTAATCATACCTCTCAACCCTCCCATTTTTCCTGGGATTCTCCCGTATTTTACATTTCTATCCTCTGATGATTTGCTATCATCCCATAAAGGTATTTTCCCATATTTTTAGTTTTTCTCTGAAGGGTAACAAACCGTATGCAACCCATATCCCTGTATGCAACCCATACCGCCGAAGGGTCGCCTCTTGCTCTTAAGTGCGAGTCTGTTCTGTGCTTTCGCTTTGTTTAGGCATGAAAACACTTCAAATAAATATAAAAACGGCGGGATTCCCTTTTCTTTTCATTACAGGTGTCGTCTCCCCTTCATATGCAATCCGCAAAACATTGATCAGTGCAACAGACGCTGTTTCCCAAACTGATTCTGTACATGCGATTTTAAAGCGGAGCGAAAGTCTGGGTT